GCTATGTGTGGGAATTAGCAAACTCAAACTAATGTGAACCCGGCCAGCTTCCCATACCTTCGCGACGCACCCGCAATGCGCGCTTTCTGCCCTAACTTCTGACGGAATCCTCTCTTCTCTCTCATTTTCTTGTTTTTTGTTGCCTATAGAGCCCCTACTTCAGGTATAAGCAATTCGCAATAAGCGGTGAAGAGGTTTCATATGCTCTAATAGTCAGAGCTTCACTCTTGATTAGCAGTCTTGCATTTTTCCTTTGTTTTTTGTGAGAAAATAAGATGAGCGAACTCTAAGGAAATATTCCTTCAAGAGCTTATTGAACGAAAGAAGAGTCCTTTTCGGCTTAATTTGTAAAGTCTAGAAATTTTTCAAGTTAAAATTATGCCTTTCGAGAAGCCGGTAGGAATTTCCTCACAAAAATGTCCACGTTCTTTTGATTTTTTTTACCATTCTAGTTTCTACAGTTTTTATTTTTTTTAAAAAGAGAAATCTTTTAAGAATGTTGTCGTTCTTTTTTCGTCCTAAGTATGGTTTTTACAGCTTATCCATCAGTGCAAGTTCAAATTTGCCCCATTAACTGAATTTGAGGTACCAATGCAGGCTGCGAGCATTTTATTTTTGCATAAGTTTCCTTTGAAATGAATTTAGAGGTTTCCACTTTCCAATTTCTCTTATGTGTGAGGAAATATGCCCTACTGCTTATGAGTGAGGTGGGAAGCGTCAAGAAAGGTGCCACAGCGGGTGCACTGCGGGCTAGGTACCTATGGGAAACTGGCCGGAGTCCACACTATAATACCTTTGAGCGTTCCAAACATTATGCATTCATTACTGTGAGAGACTTTTGCACTACTACTTCTCAGAGTTACAAGCTATCCCTTTAAAACGCCGAAAACAAACTGCGGATGTTAACTTCAACCGGGAACGTGCTCCATTACCCTGCACACATTATTATAAAACAGACGCTATTTCGTGCTTTACGACTAAAAGGGAAAGAACAACGTAGACGATTGTAGACGAGATGTATATGAATAGTTGCATCTCGGCACGGCAAATTCAGATCTCAATTCCAAAGCGGAACTTTTTGAAGGTTCGACGATTCGTTGACTGCATGGAATGCTCAAAAGCTGCGGACCACGCGCGGCGCGATCGAAATGTTGCGAGAGCACGATCAGGGCCCGGCACGCGTTGGTTTGGAGCATTTTTGGAAACGAAGTCTCCCATGAATTCACGAAAATTTACGAAGTCCCTTTTGACGTAAAAGTCAGTAGGGAAACCTTTGTTCAATCAACATAACAAAACTTAACGATGAAAAAGCGAAAATGCGAGTTTTTAGGTACCTCATATAACAAAAAAGCAAAAAAAAACATTTTGAGTCGATTCAATTCTTGAGTATAATACCATTTTAGTGTTCGGAACGTTGAAGAACTCTTAGGCCAACCAAATCTGTGACTTCAACAATATGGCGATGCATTTTTCGCAATAGTTTAATGGACACCGCATGTGATTGGAGCGCGATATCTATCAATACTTTGGTTTACACATTTTTGGCTCAAAAAAAGAGGAGGAGCAGTGGTTTGATTCGCTCTCTTTGCTTATAATAGATTTTGGAGCGTTCTCTTCGTTAAAATCAAAAATGTCTAAAACTTTTGTGAACTCTCCGATATTTATGCTGGTATGGTCTAGAAACCAACAAATTCGGGAACGGTTATAAGGACCATAAGTTTTTGAAACTTTTTACATAATGTTGTTTGGAGTAATATTGTATGTACATAGCCCAAATTCGGCGTCATGTGATTGTTTTTGCGCTGTAAACAAGTCATCTGTTTGTTTGGGTCTTACGTTTGAAATTCGCGCGCTTGCCAAAGAACGCGATCAACTCGTAAAACCTGACATGTTTGTCGTTTTTTTTTCGGTGCATCGCCCAGGACCTTATAAAAACGATATCGACGTTGCTTCTAACCTCAAAAACGAAGTCCAGTTTGACCCCGAACCATCTGTGAAGGGCCCTGAGCACGATCTGTGCAAAGGCGAATTTTACTGGAGCAAGCGTTTTACCCCTTCCCCCCTCCCCTGCTCCGCAAAAATATCCAGTCCGTGCGTCAACGAATCGAAATATCGTTTGCTCCTCAACAAGATTCCCATAGGTACCACGTCATTTCGCTGCCTTTCGCTCTTTTAAACGTGTTAACCTCGGGCAGTTCCGTTAAAATCTCAGGAAAACGTGTCAAAAAGAGCGAAAGGCAGCGTCGCGCCGCGTATGCACGCTGGTTCACATAGGAACTTTTCTGGGGCACAAAGGATAGTAGTCATGAGAGCTTGAACCTACACGTATCCCGGAAGAGCAATGTTTATAAGAAGGCAAGCAGCGTAAAGAGAGTGCAGGGCTACAAATCTGGAGGTTGGGATAGAGTGCCCGACCCTAGCTCCTGCGGTAGTGTATATGCATCAGAATTCAGAAAATAAAGCATTTTACTAAGCAGCTATGCTCTTCTTCCGTTTCTAAAAGAGTTTTATAAATTTTTGCCTTTTCGCAAATATTCCCAAATTTACTGGAAAAAGGATCAGATTTGCCTATACATGTGAGCACGTGTAGAAACATGCGAACGTGTAAACCGTGGGCGACGTGCAAAAAGAGAAACAAGGTGAGCATGATACTGGAAAAATCGTTCGGGCTCATTCTTGCTTTGCGACACTGTCAGGATGTTCTGCCCAAAGTTAGGTTTCAAAAGGGAAGGTTCGCTTCGGCGAGCGAGAATGTCTGAAGAAATGGTACGCATACGTTTCAAAAAAGATATTCTTCATAGGTGAAAAACGCAATACCTTTCTGTGGTTCGTCAAGAAAAGGATGCCGCCAGTTATTAACACGTTGACGACAACGCGTATTTTCAGTTGTCTGCCTTGTGGGACAATGCCTTCCACGAAAAAGCTCGAAATTTTCAGCTAGAATTAAGCACATCGTCATCTACTGTGGATCTACGATAATTCTAAGAAGCAGAAAGGAAATGCCGAAGTAATCACTATAATCAGTGCGTGAGAGAACTTCTGAAACGAGTGTACCTCAAGATTGTATCAATTTTAACGAAATTCAAGCCATGACCCACCATGTGGGTCACATTGTCCCACGTGGCAGTCATTGCGTGACCCACCATGTGGGTCACGTTGTCGTCAATGTGTTAAGCATGAACACCAAGCCTCACTTCTTCAACGATCCCAATCATCTACAGAAACTCCGAAAGATGGAAAGAAGTCGGGGTTCTCCTGGTTCATTGGAGGATATTTTGTATTTAAAGGATATTTCTTTTCGGACAATACTCATTTCAGAGGGAAATTCCGCTGCTTCGTTTGGCTCGCTTACGAACATTGGCAGACAGACTAAGGGCCGCATGCACTAACCTCCCCGCTGGGGAGGGGATCGCAGCTTAAAAGAAAGCTTTGTATTTCGAAACTCTAGATACCTGGATTTCATGTTGTGTACCTATCCGTAGGTATTCCTACTATCCTTCACTATGAACATGTTGAACAGGAGCGAGAAGCTGTACGAACTGCATTTTCCAGCTTTTGTATGATCCCTGATGATCCCCGGCGCTTTTCTTTAAAGTCATTTTTCTTTCTCCGAAGTTAACGAAAACCTTCCAAAATTGTACTGAACATCTAACACAACGGTGCTAAGCATGTTGCTGATGAGAACAAATGAGTTTTTGAAAAGTCGAATTTTTCGGTAAACCTCAAATTTCGACCTATGGATCATCGAAAATTTCATGACTTCAAAACATCATTTGTTCTTATCAGCAACATGCTTAGCACTGTCAGTTTAGATAATCTGCACAACTTTGGAGGTTTTTCGTTAACTTTGGAGAAAGAAAAATGACTTTAAAGAAAAGCGCCGGGGATCATCAAGGATCATACCATGCGGCCCTAAAAGGGTCTCTTTTTTGAGTTCCTCAAAGTTTGACTTGGGTATCAGTCTTCATGGCAGTGAACCCCACGCCAAAAGGCTTTAAGGATAAATGACAAAGAACTTCTTGTTGTAAACAATGAAGCGAGCCTTGAAGCCAGTGAAGCATTTCTGGATATAAGAATTTGAGAAGGGTACCGGTGCATCCCGACAAGTCCCAAGTTAAATTAGAAAAACTTCTGTAGCAGCGATAGTCTCGCTGCTCACGCTAAATTTCAAAGCACTCAGAAAAGGTAACTGACAACTTGAAGTTCACGATCGTAGCAGTAATCCAGAATAGTCCGAGAGGATGGTGGAGAGAAAGAAAACGTTTGGGAAGAGGGACGTCAGCGCCTTTGCCACTGTCAATTTGTGACAGGGAATGGTAAAATATGAAGTGGATAATCCAAACAAGCTGCACAGCATTAGATACAGCATAAGAAGCTAATTTCGAATCTGTATTCCATATTTGCTTACCGCCAATAAGAGCGAAGTTATGAGCCGTTGAAAACTATTATTTGCTAATCGTGCATGCAAAGCGCAAATTTGGCAGCACAGAGCCATGTTCGGCCTGATGGGTTGAAACGTGCAGCTAGGTCACCTCATATATTTAAAGCCTAAAGGTATAGGCGCCGTAGAACCTAATTGCCCGCGCCGTGCCTTGAACACCAGCGAGCGGTCGTCGCAAACGACTGTCGGTGTTCACTAAAATCCAGAAAATCTTTCTTTGACTTTCATGTTGTTCTCGTCGATGCAAGATATATCTTAACGAAAGTTCCCTTCACAAGTTTAAAAAAATTCGTGTGGAAAGGGTGCGCACTCATTGCCGCTCGCAAAAAGCCTGCAGCGCTTCGGGACCAAACGTTTCTAGCCGCACCGCGCGTTGGTGTTCAAAGCGACGCGTGGGCAATTGGTTTTTACGGGGCCTGTAAGCTGAAAGTGCAACGATGTGCTCGATTTCGCAATTTTCATGCTAGCTTTCGCAATAAAACTGCCCATAACTTCGTTCGTATAGGCGCTAAGCAGATATGGATTACAGATTCGAGATCAGCGTTGAATGCTGCATCGAATGGTGGGCAGCTTGCCTGGATTAGCCACTTCGACTTCTGACCATTCCCTGGTGAGTACTTTTACTTCAATTACAGAGGTGATTGATTTCGATAACAACAGAAGTTACCAGTCACTTGCAAAATTTCACAAATCATGTGGGCTACTTCTAAAAATTTTGCGAATTTTGGGCTCACTCCCCGCTCCAGCGCTTTCTCGATTCGTCACCGCTGCTTGATGGTGTACATAAATCAAAATATCTTCATAATCAGTAGATCAATATCTTGTATCTAGAAATAAAGCGTTTGCCACCTGGTTCCATATGCGACGTGGATCAGAGCGGTCCCTTCAGAGAAATGCACTCTACATGGATAGATAAGCAGATTGAAGAAAGTGGAGCGAGTTGTACAATCAATGTCTGCAACAACTCACTCTTTCATGATTATGCCGATGCTCTACGCTGGGCACCCTTGGTGAAAAGCTGTCAGGTTTGCACGTTCGGCGGACTTGAATACATGTGAAAATCGGTCGTTAATTGGCTTTGCTGGCAGGAAAGAAATGAAATTTATTCCGAGCAGAGACACTTTCAAGCGGCTAACTTTTCGGTAAGAGCGCACACGATGCATACAGTGAGTAAGCAGCTTATGCTAGATTGGGTCACATGTTGTCTAGCTTCAGCTGGCTCAAGGTTCACGCTTTTGTCAACAGATTCGTGGAGCTTCTTCAAGGATCTTACAGCCATTGATTCAGATGGCACAAAGGAAACAGATTAACAATGAATATTCCGCACGGTACAACCTCTCAAATCCAACCTTTGGACGTTCACTTCTTCCTACCTTTAAACTATATATAAAGAGATTACTTTGAACATTACTGCACATGATCTGAATCTTCCCGTGTATGGCCACTACTTCATCTCCATCTTTTATCTCCTATCTACAATCAATTCCTAGCGCCTCGTTTTTGGAATTTCTCAACGTACACCCTGGTATTTAAATGACCACCCATGTTCTTTTGACACGCCTATACACTATTGTTTCAAATCCAATCTAATCGGATCCTGCGAGGGCGATGAGAAAATTGCGATGAGATGCACTATTCAAATCAGCGTTAAGCGCTGTTATGCATACCTTACTGAAACGACAATGTGGCTCAGCAAATTTTGCCTATCAAACGAATGCTGAATGAAATTGCCGTAGAGATTAACGTGGGTGAGAGCGCATGGACAAAGAGACATTTGAAGGCAACCTTGAATCACTCAACGAAAATGTAAGAAAATTTAGATACGGCTTGAACGCGGTCGGATCAGAAAGGATTCGGACATGGAAATCATGACACACAATGCAAGGAATGCGTCCAGGAATGTAGAAGACACTTTGACCGCTGCAGCTGGAATTCAACTTATGTGCGAGATAACGACAGTAACGGCGGTTTAGATTTATTGTGTTATCGATTACAAGTGAAGAACTGCTCGTATAAACTCGGCTCGCCGAGCTAACATGCAAACAGTAGAAATCACTCTTTGAAATAATGATTCCATGCACCATGAAAAGTGAACAATAAAAATGCCCAGGAGAATTTTTCAAGAATCAAAGCAAGCTCTACAAAATGATCATCAGAATTGAAAGAAATCATGTGCTGTGTAAAATTTAGAGCCTAGATGCAATGGGATTTGAGCCGGATCTTATTGTTAGCAACAAAACGTTTTACGACTCTCCCAATCAGGCATGAATATGATAGGCACATACGAATACATACATGAAAACGCTGTGCTTTTTCGGGTTAGTCAAAGGAAAACAAACAAGAATTGGCAAACTAGCATCTAGCAATTTTGGGACCCGTCACGCGATCATTACTGAAAACTTGGTAATCTACGAGTTAGCTCTATTCTCGGGACTTGATTCCTCTGCCTTTGTTATCGTGCTTTGTGGTAACATAACATTTCTTGACTAGACTTTTTACCTAAACTTTCTCAATACGCTGCCAAACCAAGAGGAAGACTATGGAAAGCGATACGTGTTCATTATTTTACATTCTGAATTTGAGATGACCACCGATTGAAAAGGTTTGACTGTTTTGTAACTTGGCCTTATCTTCCACTGTAGCTGAGCACTGATCAAGACCGCATTCCTTTGGTAATTATGTCGAGGTCTCAGCGTTTCACAAATTCTTCCAGAGCTATTGGAGAAATGTATAGCCATCACCAAGAAATTTGCACTCTGTCGAAAGTCTCTGCGCTTTCGTGCGAAGTCAGATCTTTTACACAAGGAACTGAGACAGACTTTTGCATAAGTTGCCTGCAAACAGCTATTTGCTGCCGCTGAGTGTGATATTTGTAATTTTCTTGGCAACGATTTCTGTCTATTTGTTCAATGTATACAGCGACAAAACTTGGATCTGAGCCTATGGAGTATTTACCAATGGAGTTTCGCTGTTCATGTATGTCGAAACAGGCGGGACCACAACATTTTCAGAGCGGCTCTGTAGAATAGCTCTGTAGACTCCCTTTTCGCCCGTAACACTCAGACAGGAACCTATCACTACATTGCTTAAAATGCCTGGCATTTTAGCGAAACGTTGCCTTCAAGACGATTTGGATTTGGTCGAGTCCTTTTGATCTCCGTCAGACGGCTTTGCACCCAAAGTCTTGAAACGCTGAAATGATCTCTCTTATGTAGCACAATGGAACTGATGCGCTTCTCAGCTCCGCATCTTACTGAATGTTCAGTAGGGGACCTATTATTGCAACACAACGAAGTTCCAACAACTCCACAGGTGGGAAGCTACTTCTAATTGCAGCGTCCCGGATAATCCTCACTCTGAATATTTCACTTATCTGACCTTATCCGTCCCGCTGACTTCGAATGTGCAGTTCGGAGAGCGCGAAAATAAAATGGGCTTTTCCCAATGCATCTTAATTTGTTTGAGCACAAAACCAGCCAAATCTAGAGCAAGGTCATGTAGAAACACATTCTTGAGAAAGCTGATTTAGATGTGACAGAGAAAGTGAGGTCTTCCAGAAGTTTTGGAATGTCATTTGGACTAAGCGTACTGAGCCAACAGCTCTTACCATAAGAATCTGGGAGCGGCCGAGGAAAAACCCCAAAAAGATGCTATAAAAAGAACTCTGCGATATAAGTACCATGGATCAATTGCTGCTCAACACCCTTTGCGAGAAGCTCTATAAGAGGATCTAAAACGATATCACGACCAATAATACCCAATGAAATCTCATGAAAAAAGAAGTTGCGCGGCTCCAAGTGCAAAATGATTCAACTACTGACCAAGAGCCTCTTGCAGAAAGCTCTATAAAAAGATCCAAAACGTTATTGACAAGTGAATACCTGAAGTAACACAGACAGAATATAGTCTAGAAAGAATAGCAGAACAAGGTTTACCGAGTCCCGGAAAAACGACTTATAAACTTCTGGAGCGAAAAGATTCGACAACGTAAGAACTCTATACCGACATATCTTTTTCGCGAGATCCACATTAGACTCCCCTTTTACATGAAAACAACTGCAAAGATCCTTTTCTCAGAGGTATGCTTAGCCATAAAATGCATGAAATCAGGCACAGCCGTATTCATATGAAATCACCGCCAACTTAGCAGAGCGCTCACGAACTTACACTCTACAACTTACAGCTGAACATATGATTCGATACAGGAGAAGGAAATGGATACCTAATCAATGGAGAAAATCTCGCATGATTCTTTTGCACAAGGGGGGGGGGGGGGTAGAGAGAAGGTTTTAAGAATTACCAGTCCTTTAGCATGCACGTTTGCGCCATCTTCGGAAGCACATTTTTCAGTGGTTTCAGGAACCTTCAGAACTGCAGTTACGGATTAAATCATTGCTATTGCATTGTAGTCTCGAGAGAAGTGTTAAGGATTTCAATTCGTGCTTCCTTATGCTGAGTGGTCATCTGTTTGAAGGCACCGTCCACCCAAAATGGAGGTTGGCGAGATTATGATGGCATACTAGTGTGGGCCTCCACACTAGGCAAACCCCTAAGCTGCGCCGCAAAAGACTGCTTCTGGAGCGAGAAATCCGCGCCGGAAGTAGAGCAAAGTATCAGGTTGTCCGGAAATTAATGCAGGTTTTGCATAATCTCACTTCAAAGCGTCATAACTCCTTCAAAATCGTATATTTTGAAATGAGGTAAAAACACTGTGATCAGCAAGTCTTTTTCTATTTGCGCCATTTTCTTTTGTTACTGTAGCTCCAACAAGCAAATTACTGAAAGCCAGAAAGTAAAAAGAAATTTTTTTTGACATGGTCATACTTGGCAAGTTGTAAACTCCTGCCGAACATGAGTGATCAGCCAGAAACTTCTGTAGCTTATAGCCACAGACCAGTACTACATATACAGTTATGCAAAAAAAATTTTAGACATTTTCTGCAAAAGAAAAATTTGCGGAATCAAAATTTTCCATTCCTTCGATATTTGCTCCACGGCCGCGATCTCCGATAATTTCGATTTTTTTAATAACTCACCAAAAATAAAGCCTGGGAGGTACCAGTTGAGATGATATCTGACGGCACTGGCCTCACCCTTCAAGCACGAGGAGAGACCTTCACGACTGGTTTCTTTAGAAAGGTTTTCTACGCCATGGAGTGGCCGCGACAATTATTCATGTTAAAGCCTCAGTTTCTCTATTCTCACAATCGTTAAAGGCAGTGTCCGGGCAAAAACTCAATTTTAAGATTTTGTGCTTACCCGGGCCTATTCGCTACGCTGAATCCGAAAATGCGCATTGGAGAGCGCGAAAACGGCGAAAAAGGGCTCTAACGCAGGAGGGAAATCAGAAGTGGGCGGGGTCTTCCCCAATGTGAATTTCGCGGTCCCGACTTCTGAAGCGATTTTCTCAACTCCGCTAGCCCTCTGAGATCTCCACAGGCCAGGTGCAAACGCATGACTTGAAATCGGGACCGAGAAGATCGCTCCGGAAGCTTGGAGCGTGAATCCGCAGTGGGGAAGACCCCGCCCACTTCCGATTTCCCTCTTGCGTTAGAGCCCTTTTTTGCCATTTTCGCGCTTTCCAATGTGGATTTTCGGACAGCATAGCGAATAGGACCGAGTAAGCACAAAATCTCAAAATTGACTTTTTGCCCGGACACTGCCTTTAAAAAGAAGCGCTACCATCCATTTTGTAGGCTCACTCAATATCTTGCTGCAGCTAAATTATCTTGGAAATATTCCTCTTGCCAAATAAGTTCAAGCCAAAATAGTGCAAAGGGTGAATTTAGTAATTTAAAGCTTCATCTTCGAATGGTTGTAGATTTTGAACAAATGAAGTTGGTCGTAGAAGTAGTGCATATAAGAGAAAGCATGAAGAGCGGCTTCTTTTAGTATGCGAAATTTGTCGAAAGGTGCACATATACAGAAGAATGATCCTTTTGAATTTGCATTTGCAGAAACCTGCATTAATTTCCGAACAACCTAATAGTAGACCATGTTCGCCTCGCCCACTTGCATGCTTTATCTCGCCGGCGCTTGTTGCAGAGAGTTCTCGAAACAGGGATTTTTTGGGATTTCGCGGATTTTCGACTCCATATTCGGAATCAAGGCTTTCAGAAGGCATGAAAGCGACAAAAACATTGAATTCAAGGTTTCGGATGGACGGTGCCTTTAAGGCCAGGTTCATCTATTTATAGTTTCACACTGTGAATAAGGTTGTTGTACGACGGTTCTCACCATCAGTCACAGCACACGAGCTAGCGCTGCGAAGATGTAACGGTGAGGGTTTGCAAGCACATGTGTTATCAAAATACAGATAAGAACTTTCAACAAGCAAAAAGGGCACTAAACGGAAAAAGCGCCGCAGTCTGCTATCAGCCACACCCATTCCAGGAATAGCTTATGGAGCCTCCACGATGAGTAAATATGATACATAGATAATTTTAATATCGAGATCAAGAATCAAAATCAGTTTAAGTTCTTGTAAAGCTAAGATACGTCGTCTTCATCCAATATGCTGTACTTTAGAGATGTTCAATTTTGGAACTATCTGAGATTATGAATTCTTGGTTAAAAATTTGAGATTCAAATCACAATGATTATATGAAATATTGTCAGAAATTTCAAATTTTTCCTCAAACTTGTTTACTCGTAGAAAGAGTATAGATAGACTGACACAAGTATTACATAGGAGAAGCTAGAGGTTTTCATGGCAAAGTTTTTGTATAAGTTTGAAAATCTTTTCTTGAGCAGTCATTTTTTTCTGCCGTTGGAAACACGTACGATTTGTGCATTTTCTCTTGACCAAATTTTTTTTAGAGCAAATGATGGTGGCTCTGGATCGCGAAAGCTTTTTCCTTCTAGGCGAATTCTAAAACGTTAGTTGAATCCTAGCATAGGAGGAAAAGCTTCAAACTTTATACGTCCCCTTATAGCTCCGCTTTTTCACGAAAAGTCCTACTAACACTTTAATCTTCAAAACACAAGCAAAATGAGGTCCTACAGAGGTCTGAAATGAAGAAGTGATATTGCAAGTCACGTACTTAATTTTTACTCTACACGTAATAATAACGGACAAACATAGTCGTTGCTTCAAAGTGAATTTTGGCTTTAAGACATCATCGTCAACTCTCGTAAAACTATAAAAATCCTAAGAAAGAGGTACGCGGAAAGCACTGTCCATATACATCGTTTTAACATGCAAAATCAAGCAGGTACAGATGCCGCCGGTGGCGTATCATGGCGTATTTGCTCCTTCTGTTTCACTATATCCACCATGTGATCGGCGTTGACCGGCACTGAGTGCAGATTCTCATGTGGAAGAGCATTGCGTCGTGGAAAGAAGCAGTGGTTCAGGGAGTATTTCAGCATGTTCGGCACTCTGCTGGTATACACATCGGACAGCCTGATATTAACTCATTAAGTGCTTTTCAAGAATATTGTTGGCAAACCTATTTAGCCTCCGAGAGAAATGGGTCATATTGTGGAAAGTTCTGAATAACGAACCAAACTGGGGATTGAACAGCGACTTGACATAGTCTCTGAAAAAACTAACTAAATCCGATTGCCTGTTACATTCCACGTATTTTTTGATCTTGGAATTGGTTCTGTAGAAATAAATGCATTTTTTAACCATGAGTATGACTGAAACCTTAGTGGGCGACAAGGGGGTGAGAGAAAACTCAGACATTCGCAAATGTTTTCCGGGGCAAACTGAAGTTGTAAAACTTGAAGGGGACACTCCTATAGGAGCAGCCAGGAAGAGCGGGACCAGCTAGGACCCACCCACACGGCCCAGTAGGAGCGTCCGCTCCCCCTCCTCCGGAAGTTATGGAAGTCTAGTTCGCCAGGGACCTCATCTGTGATTATTTGAGAAGGAGTGCATGACAGATGGCAGGATGGCAGTTTGAGCAAACATTATTGGGAATAATTCAAAATTTGAATTGGAAAACAGGATTTATTCTTCGCTGTAAAGCAATTACACAAAGTTTTCAAAATTCGGTTTACCTAAGATCGGCTCGTTCTTTCCGCCAGTCCTCCATCAATTCTGCAGAATCAGGATCATCCTGTGCATTAGCTTGATATTCTTCAATAATTGTAGTCAGCACCTCGAGCCATTGGATGCTCCTTCTAAATTCGTACCTTCATACATATTCGACATGGACCTCAAAAGTTTAGTCTACAGCCGTACCTATATGCATCGTTATTCTGGGTTCTTATCTCACGAGCTAGTTCAGGCACAACAGCGGCAGTCCGCCATCCTAACCTCAAAACGCGATGCTTATAAATATATACTTTGGTAAAGGTCCTAATCATCCGACCTCAGTATAGGGTCAGCAAGATCTGTGTATATATGGTCACCAAAGTAGAGAACGCCTTTTCCTTTGAACCCAGCACGACTGGACAACTCGTCGATATTGCCCTTGAAAGAAATGTGGAATTGTAAGAAGTCTTTTTCTGGACTAATGGGTTGAGTGGATTAATCGTGGGTTGGTGGTTATGTGCACTCAATTAATTATGTATAAACAAACCCTGCAGTACACACTTCCTTCTTCAAGACGGTTGACTTTCTCGAATCTGATGACATCTGCTTCGGGGTCATATAATCTGAATTGGTAAGAGTTATAAACGAAGAAGAACTGGTTACCTACAAGGGTTTTTGGATGGAGAGAACAAATCCAAAGTTTATGAAACGGCGGATCACCAACCTGAAAGGCTCGCGCCCATGGAAGAATGTCGGTTTTTTTGCAGACACAACAATGTACTCGAAGTATTTGCGCCATTCGGGCCCCAACATATATGTCATGCCAACATTACTAGAAAGAAGAAACCAAGCTTAACGGTGATAGCTATTTGATTCTGATCTCATGAAAACATTAAACTAAACGCTACTTTGTTGTGCTTACTCTAGTTTTTTTATTCTCGGTGTTGCCATGAGTATTTTCGACGTAAAGTCTTTGCGCAAATCATCTCACATTATGTTCTTTCCAACTAGTTTCCCAAGAGGAAGCCATCTTGACTATCTAAGGTTGGATTCAACATTTTAAAGTAAGCTGGTAATTTTGCTAAGTATTAGGTTGTTTGAGACATAATGTCGCATCATGTGCTATCATTCGATATTGCAGCGGGATGAACATCAACGGTTTAGGGTATTACTGTGAGCTACGACGTGATAGAGTAAGGCGAGCTTCACGAGATGAAACTCGAAGAGCATTTGACAATTTGTACCGTTCGATCCATTTGAAGATTGAAACCAAAGTCCAAAAGGTACGAATTTCTTCATAAAGTCAAAAAAATAGGATATCTGTCCAAGATCGTGCATGTCTCTCAAATACGCATATATCCTCCACGTCAGACATTCATATATAGAGTTGCTGCAACTTTCGTGTCTAGATAAAGTAAAAAAAGAATTTTGGTTTTTGCCAAGGCGATGCTGGACTGCCTCCACGTAAGTATATATTTCTATATTCTCATACTAATCTATGGAAGTACAGTCGCAGAATTTTAGACTACCTCAAGAGTTAGTTCTTGGAAAACATCAGATTTAGCACAAAAAAGGAAAAGTCGGTCTGATATTTTTTGAGTAGCTCTTGTAGACGGCTGAAAATCTACGGCTGTTGTTTTCCTTTCCAAATGCTAACAATGCTGAATTAGTCATGTGAAAACAGCCACAACTGTCTTGGTAGAAAACGAACTTTTCGTTTTGGTTTCTAGCACAGGCAAAAATATTGCAACTTATGTATGAATTTATGATATAAAAGGCAAATGCGTGAGCAAGTTGCAGATTTGTAGGAGTTTGTTGGATGGAACACGATTTTTTGATTTTTGAGCATTTTGAACTTTTTAGACTTAAATTCCACGAAGATCATATTTGGTACGGTTTATAAATGCCATCTTGTAGAGCTCAATTTCTTTTGATACCACACACAATTTTATTTACTGGTGTTTATCTTGCTGATACATGACATGATTGACGCGATATTATTTTTGTGACAAACTAAGATTTATGGATATAATCATACCATTCACTTTTATTTGTTTTGTTTCAGATAAAATCAAAGTTGTTATTTAATTAACCAGTCACTGTTTGCTCTATTTTATTTACTTAATGTTGCCGTTTAGATTTATGCGAGAACTACGAGGATTACGGCAGAAATGCTGTAGAAGGTCAAAGTCAAAGCAAAACTCCTAACCATCGATTAAGGATCTATGGCAGTTTCAAGATTATTGGAGTCCCAAATAGTACGTAGCTCGAGAGTTCTTAGTCTTCCAAGGGCAATTACGAACTCACTAAGAAAAATCGTAGCTGCTGAACAAGGTATCATGGCTTCTACTTCAATTCGGACCACGCATGTGTAATCAAAATCGCAGCATTTTGGTGAATTTCAGGAGTTTCTTCAGAGCTGTTAGATTAACATAGCATATCGCCACATTGAGACAGAGATAAAGCTAACAAGGGAAGCGTCATTAGTTGAAGTGGCCTTTCCAGATGAGATCCATACTGCTTTGAAGAGCATTGAGCGGTGATTCCAAATCTGCCGAGCGCCCTTGGACACCGAGTTATGGGCGTTTTCCAGGTCAAAAAATTGAACGCAAAACTGGAACAAAATCACCCAAATTTACTCAAATGGTCCAGTGTCAAGTATTAGAGCCGTTTATGCAATGGATACATTTTTTCTAATATGCTAACACTTAACACTGCTTTATCTGAGCACTGAAAAGATTGTAACAATCGATTTTACCTAAATTCTGCATTATTTTTCGTTTCAAAAATGGTCATAACTCGGCGGCCAGAGGCGCTTGGCAGATTTGAGAGGTAGATTTGGAATCACCGCTTAATGCTCTTCAAAGCAGTATGGGATTCATCTGGAAAGGCCACTTCAACTAATGACGCTTCCCTTGTAATCTGGTGTCTTCAATAATGGTCTGAAAATCCACAAAACGTAAATCTCAAAAAATATGATCCAGTGGTGCTCCACATTCTTCAAAATGGCAGAACCTGTGCAACCCTAATCGTTCGAAGTGTCACTTGAACCTCTGAAGTTGTAAGATAAAAAAAACGTGAAATTTGAACAAAACCTGACGTAAGCCATCCCGAAGTTTGTGGTCTGAACTGGATTTCACATTCGAGTTAAACACACTTTAGAGGCGTTTACGCTCTAGATGGCACTCTTTATAAATGAAAATGGCAACTTGCATGAATTTGTAGGGGCTGTTTGTAACCACAAAAAGCTCTTTCCCGGCAGAATTCAGCAATTCAAGGTACTCTTTCAGTCCCTCGTTAGGATGAATGTAGCTCTCAAGATTTTCTCCCACTTTCTGATACAATTCACCGCTGATGTGCACTTGTTGAACGCATTCCTGAAATGTCTTATATGAGAAAGTTTGCAAATGTGAAAAGCTAAACTTCAAAAAAATATCTATCTAGAAATTGTTTTCGCAATCATATAGAAAAATTTGATGAAACTGACCGCAGAATCGTCATACAAGCATTTTGGATCGTAAACAATATTGTGTGCATCGCAGTAATGTACAACAGTGGACAGCAGCCCAGCCCATGGCAATGAAAAAAGGTCAACCAGCTGTGGCATTTGACGAGCTCAAAAATTGCTATTTATTTGCATAACTCAACGCAACCCAAGCGAAATTACCTTCCAAATCTGGAAGACAAAGACCGGGAAACAGATTTTTGACCTCAGCAACAGACAACTTTCGTCTGCCTCGGTATACAGCCCCTGCAACAATGCTATACAGTACCTGCTGAGTGAGTACAGTCTGCCCCAATCGGGATCAGGCCGAACCGTCGGCTGAATTTGCGCGCTCGCAGCGCTAGGGGTTTGCGCTGCATACGCGCGCTGTCGCAGAGAGCGAAGAGATTGAGGAGAGCGCAGACTAGCTAGACGCAGAAGTGGCGCGAAACCCTCGCGACGCGCACTCCCGCCAAGCCAATTTTGGCCTGGTTAGGATTGGGGCAGACTGTAGGTTGAAATGTTACGTTTGTATATTCTACAACCATGTGCAATGAAACTTCGCACCCACTGCATCAAAAGTGAGCAGTACCTGAGGTCTGCTCAATTATGTAAAAATATCATTTTAAAAAGGACATGGTTCTGAGTGGGCAAAAATTATGCGCCTTTTTGAGTTTGATCGCTCTAATCGTAGTACGGTAGTTCTGTTAGAGGAAGACAATTTGTAGGCGACTAGTTTGTATAAATAAGTCCTTTAATTTATTTCTAAGCAGTCCAAAAATTGATTACCATCTCCTTCTACACAGTTGTTATTTTCCGAAAAAAAATCATTACTTACATTTTGACACCAATTAAGAAAATGTGCCCACCTGCTTGTATCTGTGAAAATGCATCAACCTTCAGCAAGCAAGAGCTCTGTACATCGAAATGCAGTCCGCGAATAGCAAATTCACGATCATAAGGCAGTTCCAGCAATCCGGATGGATACTAAACAAAGGCTGACTCGATGAAATAGAGATGAGTTGTGATGCAGAGGATTCTAGAGTACTGTATAAATGAATGGAATTCTCCCAACTAACGTTTAGATCAATTGTTATTGATTATTAGATGCCGAAACCGCGGTGTACGGAAATTTTTATTATTTCGCATTTCGCATGGTCTCAACCCCGCAGATGACAAGGCTACAAGTCAATTTTTCTATGCATGAAATATAAATTCACAACAAAGTTAGGGTGTAAAGACCAAAAAGGATTGATTATTTTTAATGAGGAAATTTGCACTTCCGGTCTCTTTAGCGTTACTTAAGGCGATGGACCAAAAAAATTCCTGAGTGACCGTGCTATGTGCAGCAAAACCCGCAATACGTTTTGTCCCTATCATCGCACAAGCACCTCCCCAATAAGCTTTCGATGACAATGATGATCATACTTTATATAAAGCGGAAGCACCCCCATCTGACGTCGTCAGTCGGGCCAGAGGTGTAAACATGTATGTCGTTTTGTGCCGGTGCGAGCGTACCGAGCTGATGACTCACAATGGTAGTGATGCCTGTCTCGAACGATGTTGATCAAATGGCATAACCCAAAAAGCGATCACAATGGTAGTGATGCCTGTCTTGACTTAAATTAACTATTCAAAATCTTGGTTCTTTGGGAATGGTTTATGCAATTTTAAGACGCAATTGAATAAATTAATAGTTAAATACGAACGATGGGAGTAAAGCATTTTGATTAATTGGTTGCATTTTACATTGTTTATAGTAATCCATACTATTATATAAAGCGCTAACATCCCCCATGTGAGTCAGCATGGATGTCTATTAAATATCCGGCGTTGTCTACCACCAATGGGAACGCGCCCGGCAGCCAAGATGGGTCGCGCTGATGACGTCATATCATACAGTGCTGCCTTCATATGTTTTCGGTTATGCTCTTCAGCAATGTTTATGAGTTGGCACCAAAGCAGCGAAATTAACACCACAGGAACTGTCAGCGGCTAGATTGATTAAGCTGTCCCACTGACTGTGATAGCTTCATTTCGAAAATCATCGAAAGTTGGTTAAATCGTTTGTACATTATCTCACCACCATTATCTTCTTTTTTGGCATCTCGCTTTTCTATTTCTACTACGGAGCGTTTAATTTGGAGTGCAGCATAAGTTTTTCAAGAAAGTTGGGTATTTTAGCAAAATACTGCAGTCTTCCATAGTTCATTTTTCGAGTGCTTAGTATGTTTCCTCACCGTAAAACAGTTGCGGGAAATCTTCAATTAATCTGTCCTTTTAATTTTTCTGCTAACACATCTCAGCAGGGAAGTTGAAGTTCTCCACAAAATGCTTAGCGTTTAGTTATTATTTTAGACAAACTGCACTAAATCTGTTTTTGGAGGTTTCCGCTAACTTTACTTTGGACATCTCTGTCTACGATTTTTTTGAATGAGCATTTCGTTTGAAGTGCCAACAGCAAAGGCAACTCCTTAGTTTCTTCTCAATTCACATGCAAAGATGTTTGTTGAAGTTGATGAACTTTGAAAATCTTTGACTCCATCGAGTTGACATCTCATTACTGTGTAAACCTTTTCGATAGTTGCCAAGATTTGTACGAAACACTATCTTTAAACGAATTCAGCGTGGTCATGCGAACTGTCTTGAAACTCGATGAAAGCTGGATGCAAAAATCTTCTTCAGCTAGGAAAAAGTAAAAAAGAAACCATTTTCAAATTCCCGAGATTTCCTTCAAACATAAAAAATTCGAAGAGTAAAGTAGAATAATGCCAATGCGATCGTGATTGATTTTATTAGGACTAAATGCTTTATGAATCTGCCGTTTATATCAGCTACGAATTAGAGACAAGGTGGCATGCACGTTGACTTTACATTAACACGTTGACGACGGTGTCGCGCAATGGTGCGCGACAGGCAGTCTGTCCCTGTGGACGATGTCGCGCAATGGTGCGCGACACCCTAAACATCAGTTTTAATGTGCACAATGGTTCCAATTTGTGTTCATATAATCAAGTTGGGCTCGAAAGTATTTCATGTTGGCCCCGCCCCCTTTTTGGCAAACTCCGCCCACTCCACTGCCCTCTACAAAAAACTTTTTTCGTTCTCAAATCGCATAGAAAAGCTCGTAGATGACAGGGGAACCTTAAATAATTTTAATTTTGATCCCGCCCCCCGTAATGCAGGCTCCACCCCCTCAGTGGCAAGCTCCGCCCATTTTTCAAAAATGCCGGAATTTGCACGAATTCATTGATTTTGAGCAATTTTCAGCATTTTTTAAAAATGGGCGGGGCTTGCCAAAAGTGGGCGGAGCTGCCCCGCCCACTTGCATTTGTGTATCTCACGTATAGACGCATGCATACATATGTGCAGCCGGCTGTGAAAATGCCCGGAAACGGTTCGTCCACAGGGACAGACCTTCAAAAAATGGCTCGTCGTCAACGTGTTAACTAAAGCTTTACTAACCTATGCGCAGCTTTGCCAAAATACTGCACAACCTCAAAATTGCTTAAGGAAGAGAGGTCTGCTTAGGTGAGCAGCTTGAAGCATGAACACCTTTATGTAGGTCCCTTCAAGAATTTGAGTTTGCTCAATAAGATAACTTGAAAATTGAGTGGATTTTGGAGCCTACGGATGAATTGCAAGAATGTTGGACAGTTTGGGAACTTCATAAAACGTGAACGAGAGTTTTGATAGTGCAATTTTTTGAAGTGGCAGAGGAAGTATGACGCTTTCAAGAAACGATACCTTGTGAAAAGAAAGAAGGAGTGTTCGAATTTAAAAAACTCTAGATTTGGTAGTTTCAATATTGGCTACATATTTACAAGAATATCACGAATTTTCTTGCTAATAGTTTCGGGAAGAGATAAAAATAGTCTGATTAGAGCGGTGGGATTCTAAAGCAGTTTGGAGGGTCGCCGCTTAATGTGGGAAACAGGGCCCCGGGTGGGAAGAGCACGTGGTTGGGATTACTTTGTCGGGTTTGGGATGGGCCCAATCACAAAAAATTTTTTACGTTACGTTTTCTTTACGTGTGAAAGTTTGAGAGCATACAAAAGTCTTCGCAGGCTACGAATCTTCAAAAGTCTTGACTTTCAGTCACATTCCCGCTTCACACGCACAGCCAGTTCAAAGCGCCGCGAAGCGGCGCTTTGGACTGGTAATATAATATTAGACAACAATTTTGTATGAATTTTTTATAAATAAGTTTTAGTCTATTACATTGGTTGTTTGTCGGTCAGATATTTTCAGTCGTGTATATAGAGCCGACATAGTTGCCAGTATGGTTCCATCCCCAAAGTAATGAAAGTAGTGACATAGCCTAGATCAGAGCCCAGGAGGAGGTGGCATTTGAACATTTTGAAAACGAGGTCCCCTTTGACATTGCAGAAGATTACGAAATACCTTTTGCGGTATTCGTAGAAGTACGGCTGATAATCTACAGCGAACGATGAGGTAACGGAAATTAAGGCCATCACGTACATCCCCGCGGGGAGGGGATGTGCGTTTTACCACTGAAATGATCCCCGCTGGGGATCCCCTCCGTTCCCCACGCGAAACCCCGTACGCACAAAGACAATATCGGACAAGGGATCCCCTGTGGGGAGGGGAAGTGAACCCCCTTATGCACAAGAGGGGATCAAGCGGGGAGATCACCTTGTTTCCAAATTTTCTATGAAATTCCCTTTCTTATTTTCATCTTCTGACTGCAATTCACCTTCATCTCCTCAATTTTAATAATTTAGGGTTGCGGAATGCGCGTATGCAGTGACTGCGCTCGGCGCACCAAAAATGATTTTTTCTACTCCCACGATGTTACTGCTTTCTTGAATGCTGCCCACTTTCGCTCACGCTGCCCCATTTCGGCGTAAAAATGTTGAACTATAGAAGTCAAGGTGTCTCTGCATGGGAATGAGTAGAAGACGTTATGCTGCCGAAAAGGGGGGGGGGGGTGCAGCGCAGACACTCAAAGCAGTATTTTAACACATAACGGAAGCTTTAAATCGTACCAGCTCTCCATAAAGGGCAGCTATCACGATACATCGTCCGTTACCTCAAGGGAGTGATCCCCAGCGATCATCCCTGCTATGCACGAGGGGAACACTGGGGAGGGGATCACTCCCCCGGAAATCTCTATTCAGAAATAGGCTAATCTGCTAATTTTCTTGGTTTTTTCGAAGCAATTCATGTTGGGATAAGAAGATAAGGGCAACATAACATATGATAATACAGTTACAATGTGTTCGGGTAGCCTACATGGATAAAACTATCTTGTCATATGAAAACTGCGAAGATTTCGGAAGTGACCAAAAACTCCTCCAGACGTTCAAAATAGGCAGATAATTGCTCGAATCTCTTCTCGAGAACCGAAAATAGAAGAGAAAGATAAAATTGCAAGCTACAAGTCACTGGGAGAGGAACCCGGCTTGAAAGAAAAGTTTTCATCAAATTAAACGAAATACTTTGTAATAACTGATTAGAACCAATATTCGCTTCTTTGGCATGACTTACACCTTTGAACCCCTACTTCGCTGTAGGGGATGTCGATCCCCTCCCCTGCGTTGTTAAGTTACATTCGTGCATACGGGGAAGGGAAGGGAAGGGATCCCCACTGGGGTTCGTTCGATCAATACCTCCAAAACCAAATGCTAAATCTGAGGCAGCGAAACAGTACCGCGAACTCTCAAACGCTGGAAACTACGGAAACTACAAAATGCTGCGAAGCACATCGCACAACATAATTGCAAGAAATTCTTAACATGAACTACGAAATAAACACACCCTACTTCAAAAAGCAATATTATTACTATTGACAACACTTAGCGAGTATAACGAAGCTTTGGAAAAGTAATAATACGGAGAACAAAAGAGCAAAGGAGGGAGAGATAAATGGGAAGGGTGGAAGGAGAAGAGTGAGGAAGAGACAAATGCACGCGAATGCTATTTCTGTACATTTCGTTTCAAAGGCCATTCTAGTACACACAAGATTTACCAAAAATAACTTTATTGGGGAGTTCTTGTAGTACTCGTGAGGTAGAAGCGACTACCGCAGGCACACCATCCCCGCTGTAAGTGCAGGGGAGGGGATCGCTCCCCTCCCCTCTGTCATAGCGGGGTTCATTGGAGGGGATCGTTCCCCTGGGGATCCAGCTCCCCTTCCCTCCCCAGCGGGGATGTACGTGCATACGGGCCTAAAAATAGGCAAGGAAGATTGGGGATAGAGCAGAACACGTGAAAAAAGGCGGTTTTTATATCATCAAGGGCAGTAGCAAAGCAGAGAAAACGAAATTTGGGTCAAGGTAAGTATTCATAGGTAGGGTTTGAACTGAAGAACAAACTTAAGTGAAAAATCTTGGAAAATTATGTAGAGAAGGAAGAAAATAATGACTTTGCTTGGTTCCGCGCAACCTCAGGGTGCTCCCAGGTTGTGCGGAAGCAACCTAAATTAGAGAAACACTTACAGCTCCTCCATTCACATAATTCTTTCATAATTTTTCATAGTTTCCTTTTGATCATAGCCGCGGACGTATACACCAAATTTGGTAACTCAATATTGCTTACCGGTTGCAATCGGACTGATTATTTATTTTTTTATGCATAAGGTGTGTTTTAACACGTTGAAATCGTGTGCACACGGGTCTAAGCTTTTGTCATGTTTGTACCGTGTTAATCTACCTGTTACTGGTGAAGCAACGTCGGAGTTGAAATAAGGGCTTATTAAAGGTTAACTTTGTGCATGCTAACATTGTACCAGATATCGGGGAACCACCCCTGGGAACATTACGAGTTCCCTTTTGCTTTTCTCTGAAGAAAAAACGACATCCAGCGTGTGAAAGCGCCACCTCTGCTGAGCCCTGGCCTACTCAGACAATCGCTGGGAGCAGGCTGGCACCGGAAAAATAGATTGCTGATTTCTCGCACCCCGCTCGCGGATTTTTTGCAAAGCAATCAGAACTTTTCGGAAGACCGCTTGCTGAGTCAGCGGATTTTTGAGAGACCGCCTGTTGAATTTTTTTTCGCTCTTATCTTTTGCAGATATATTGCTGAATCTCTGAGGAATCGAGAACTCAGCAAGCGGTCTTCCGAAAAGTCCTGATTGCTTTCCAAAAAATCCGCAAGCGGGGTGCGAGAGATCAGCAATCTATTTTTCCGGTGCCCTCCTGCCCCCGGCGATTGTCTGAGTAGATGCTCAGTTCCGGATCATCATCACATGTGTTGATTTCTGCGATGTTGAAGTTGTCGATTACGCGAAAAAAAATTTGCGACTATTACTTCCTAAATGGAAGAACGGTGGCTCGCAGTACTTTTCTTCCACCAAGCAGATGCAAAAACGCTTCTTTGTGAAAGGGCTTATGTTCATCCTTAAAGTAAACATGTTTTGAGCGCTCTTGCTTTCGTCTGTTAGCCAGCAGACGCCTGCTGCTTCTCAGAAACTTTCGATTACCTCCTCAATACAGCGAGAAATGGTCAAATCAAAGGTTTGTACAGTTTTCTTAGTTCCGTAATAAAAAGTTTTTATCATCTTCTGCATGTGGGATAAAGGCATGGGCAGTAGAGGAATAATTACTTCTTATAGGTAGGCTCAATGCTCTTATCCCCACTACACAGCTGAAAAAATCCTGCATTCTACAACAAAAAACTAACCTTGAATTGAGAGATTAGGCGTCGTAAAGCCAATTTGTAAATGAGCTCATTGATATCGCGAGTGTATACGGCAAGAGTGTAGTCGTAATCGAAACCGTACACCTAAATTGTGCATCTAAAAGTCTGAGAAAGGCTAATCCCAGCAGTTTAATTCTTCATCATTACAGATCTGAAAAGCACGGTTAGTATGCTACAGAGCCATCATCGATCCTCTGGAAAATGGAGCTTTGAATTTTGACATAATCTCCTCCAGCATGGATAGAATTTGGTTTTCCTGATTGAACGTTTGCATAAACTCACATCAATCCTCCCAAGGTCAAGTTCATTGTTGACAAAAACTGCTCGAGGGTCCACTCTTGGAGCTGGGCTAAATTTCGCACATGCCTGCAATGAAGGTTTTTGTAAATACTACTTTCTTCTTCACATTGGACCAGAATATCTAGGCCAAAGACCGAGGATTCAGAATAAATTATTTGATTAGCTAGTGTACTACAAATTCTTTGATATCCCAATTATCCAAGTAGTGCTAACTACGTCTTGATATAAACGTATGTTCTCACTGCAGGAATATGTAACTTGATCATATCTTCGGAAAAGAAAGCAAGCTTCTACTAATATCGATCTTCAAGATTTTGCACTTGAAGGCTCGCCCACGCAAATCGGGGATTGGTAGAATTTGATGCTATACTCTGACTAAGTTGTTCCTCAAGTTTTGCCGCATAAGCTGTTCCGTGCAGAACATGATTCAAGAAAGTATGTTGATCGGCTACCGATAGAATGCCAGCAGCAACTATCTACTTTCCTATAGTTCTAGTATCAACATCTCAATCCAGAAACTTCTGAATCTACTCAAGCATGCGGTAGAACAATATTCAGCTCCTGTATTTGTTCTCAAAAATATTCGTTCTCTGCCGCCTGAATTATGGCCAAACCAATGAATTCATTTTGCGGTTACGCAAAATGCTGATGAAGTTATCATAGATGAGGATAGAAAACTATTGCCAAGTACGCAGTGGAGCAAGTGCCGTTCAACAATATTTGCAGGCAAGCTGTACAAGAGGATCTGAGAAGATATCGACGGATGAAGTAATCACAAAGATGGAGAAATTTTTGGGAACACGAGTTACCGTCACAAGATTTACTGGGTTAAGGCGGAAGAATAACTCCAGGCGCAAAGCAATGAAGGAGGATTTCTACAACAAACTCTTTATATCCACAATGCCCTTACCACCCGCTATCCCCACCGGAGAGCATCCGCCAAGAATCCTTTCTCCAGACATACGCACGGCCAAAGCATGATGAAATTCTGTCCAAATGGAATTATCGAGGCCACAAGCACACTCTGCTGGTAACTCAAATGACAGGTTATCTGAAGAAGGAAAGGATACGCAACGAGTAGAAAACATCCCACAAGATTCTCCTACACGGAAAAGACATGAGAGAAGAAATCAAGAACTACGACCGATCATTCCATGTCCGATTGTCACTGAATCTCGGCATCGCGTGTAACTCTGAGGTTGTTTTTTGAGCCTTGAGCCAAGATTGGTAATAACCTTTATTTTGGGCTAACGTTTCGGCGGCGTCGCCTTCTTCAGAGCCTGAAAAGATCAGAAACATTGCGACTTATCCGCCCAAACACCTTGTCAGCCTACAGAAACAAAACTCAACATTGTAATAAACACTACTACGGTACCAGAGGACAGTCCAAGCTAGCGCTCACCTCAACAGCCTTAACGGTAAACAGAGCGAGTACCACCGACTGAGATAATGCCCTCATTAGTAAATAGCCCCTTTTATACGCATCTGACCTCGACCTCATAGATCAAAACCCACAGAGGTTTTGATATAAAGCCAGTTGCGTTGTATGTCCCACACACGAAATGGACATATGCTTCAACCTTCTCAACAACCAATCCCCTACCATTAAGTTCACTCGTGAAAAACCCAGTGAAAACTGCCTTGCATTCTTGAATGTTCAAATATATTTGTCAGGTGAGCGTACAAAACGCAATGGTACCGCAAGCCAAGCAGCAAAAATATTTTAGTGCACATCGCTCTGCTCATCCCTGGAGCACAAAAAAGTCGGTTATTGGCGGCATGCTCAAAACGGGAAGGGCAGTATCGTCGGATGCGTACGGGCGCGCTGCATCAACGAATCTGGCTAAGCAGATCGCGCAGTCCAACGGTTATCCAGTGCAAGGGAGTCTGGCAAGGTACAATCGCCACCCAGAACGCAGACAGCACACAGTTGACCACCCACCAAAAATTCCATTCTGTGCGCCTTACATTTCAGATGAGCTGAGCAGAGCTGTCAGGAAAAGTTTGCAGCACGCAGGCCTCGAAACTTTCGTTAGGGTCGTCGACATACCACCTCCTAGCCTCAAGCAACGATTGACATGCAACCGCGCCTACGATCGCATTTGCACAAGCCCACGTTGCGTGATCTGTCCCGCCGGAAAACCGGGTGATTGCATGGAGTCAAGCGTGGTATATATCATAACGTGTTTGTCATGCGGGGACCAATACATAGGAGAAACAGGCAGGCCGCTGTGCGTAAGAATCAAGGAGCACCTGGATGGTCTTCAAAAATCTAAAACATCCACGCCACTGAGCGCCCATCGCAGGCAGTGCCATGAAAACCAATTTTTCAGAACATTTGTCACGATCCTATCGCGAGAAACTGAAGTGGTAGCGCGGAAAACACTAGAGGCATTCTGGATAACATCCAAGAACCCAAAAATGAACCGCAAAGACGAATGCATCGCTGTGACCAACGAACTGGCTCTATATCAAAACCTCTGTGGGTCTTGATCTATGAGGTCGAACTCAGATGCGTACAAAAGAGGCTAGTTTACTAATTAGGTCATTATCTTAATCGGTGCTACTCGCTCTGTTTAACGTTAAGGCTGTTGAGGTGAGCGCTAGCTTTCTGTCCTCTGGTACCGTAGTAGTGTTTATCATAATGTTGAGTTTCGCTTCTGTAGGCTGACAAGGTGTTTGGGCGGACAAGTCGCAATGTTTCTGATTTTTTCAGGCTCCGAAGAAGGCGATGCCGCCGATACGTTAGCCCAAAATAAAGGTTATTACCAATCTTGGCTCAAGGCTCAAAAAACAACCTCAAAGTTATACGACCGATCAGCTTATTAAGTGTGCTTTGCAACCTATTTACAAAGACCATCATGTCGCTCTTGAAGACGTTGGGTGAAGCATAACCGTCTGAATGCCAGATTTCAGTGAAGAATTCAGCTACATCAATCACACCCACATTCCCAAGAGTCCTACAGTAACTACTCCTAATCCTCACCTTTGTCAATCAGGAAAAGCGACAGTGTAAACCAGTGCCAATTTAACAGCTCTGACGACTAGGGAGAACCTACTCATAAGAATATAGACTACGATACAAGATGCACCACAACGATATAGCCATCCGACCACCCGCTCTATATTCATGCTGGAAACGGAGTGCGACAAAGCGACACCTTGTGCGCCGTATATGGCACATTTTTGCGCATCTGCCACCTGTTGCTTGAGTAGCGTAAAGTTCATGCGTACGCATGACATTCTCGACACATATGTTGTACTTGTGATTCATTTCGCTGTTCTCAATTCTTCCGATAGCCGACCTAAGGCATACTTCCCGCGATTCCGTCAAAGCGCTACATCCGCATGATTTGGCTATTTGCCAGATGTTTACGAATTAACCGCGTGCTGGTCTCAAATGCATAGTCCGTCCGGCTCCTGCAATTTGTAGCCAAAGTACCAACTTTGGCCCCAGCAAAGCGCGTTGATGAACAAGAAGAGAACGATGCACTGCCGGATCGCTCAGCGACTGGAATTGCGTGAGGTATGCCTTCGCCATAACCTGCTGTAATAATCTGTTATGTTACTCTACACTTTTTATTAGCATCCTACCTCTATACCCTTGAGTGCACGTTGTCTGTCTCAATAAAGCTACTACAGCTGATGTGTTCTATACAGCACATTCAGGTGGCGCTAACCGCCTTAGGCCACTATAATGCCTACGAACCACCGAACCAGCCTACGAACCACATTTTGTCGCCAAGGCTCTTACTGCGGCACTAAAGGTGCATACAGTGGGTTGAGTGGGAGGAGAAGCGGATACGAGTAGATTGGCTGTTCCTCTCAAACCTTCGCTTTGCAGACAATATCGTTCCACTCTCGAAATTTGTTAGCAAAGCGGAAGAGATGTTGAACGAGTTGGACGAAAGAGGGGAAGCTTGGTGCTCAAAATCAATCGGAAGAAGACGCAGTTCATGAGAAACACCTGGTATGATGAAGGTCAGTTGCACTAGGATGGATCACCGAGGGACCACATCCTATGTTTACCCAGCATGTACCACCAACATGAAGAACGACATGAAGGGCGAGCAGCAGAACAGGGAGCGGCATGGGCAGTATTCGGACCTCTGAGGCTTCTACGCGTTCATTCTTTCCTAGTTTTGTGTTAAGTAGCCGAGATGTGGGCTGACACCTCAACAATTACGAAGGCACTACCAACAGCAAACAGGGCGCTCGAATGAAAGCTTGTGGAGATAACGAAGTTCAAACAGTAACTGTAACTCGTAGTTATTTGTACCTCGTAGCGTTTTCTGAGTTATACCGTAGGCTAATATGACCGTACTATCATTAAATCATTTTGTAGGCTGATTTAGTTGATCCCTGAGTTTTGTTTCGCTGTTGTTATTTTGCTGGTATATCATCTCGTTTTCGTTATCTCTTGTTAATTATTACGTGTCGATCTTTGAATATCTGGTCTCAATTTTCTCAGGCTTGATGACTCATCACTATCTCGTAATATTCGGTGCCTTGAAAAAGCCCGCCTATTTCATAACCTCATTAACCTCCTCCCATACTGTACTCAGTCAGTGTTATTTCTATTGTAATGATAAACGGTCTATTTAAGGCGTGTTCCGCTGATTCAAACGCGGTATCATCCGCGTGTACTTAGGCGACATCTAGCCTCTGTATCGACTTGGGATTCGGGGCTCCGCCCTTAGGCAACTTTCGCATCTATAAGATGCAGCAGAGTACGTAGCGAAGAACAAATATAGATAGGCCGAACATATAATGAGAGGAGAAGACTAGACATGGACAAAGATTGTTGAAATGATTTCCAAGGTCTTCGAAACGCCGAGTAGTACACCATCGAAGAGATGGTGTGACGTATTTGTTACCCACAACAACCTGCGTTAATAGATCAAGTCTCCTAACTCAGGATCATCCACCAATCGCATGCAGACGCAGGCGAAGACGTTCGTGGATGAAGATCGCCCAAAACCGCAACGATTGGTAAAAAGTTGGGGCCCGCACGACAAGTGAGGGACCATCAAAAAATTTAGGCAAATATAGTGTAGTACAAATTT